ATTTTCGGATTCAGGGGACAATTTTACATAAGAATTGGCTGTTAAATTTTTGAATACCATGGTATTCCATGGTTAACCATGGTACAAGTGAAAAAGCAGCCACTTATAACTATCAAATTAGTCATTTTTGACTAATTCATTTTTAGAGAGTAGATCGCCGGTTTATGGCCATTGGAATGCTAGAAGCTGGGCAATCATTGATAGCTCAAAAAGCGTAATTTCTCGTCTTAGTTCAAGATACAAAGATACAGAATCTGTGGAGGATAGGCCTAGAAGAGGAAGATCTAGGAAACCCCAACAAAACCGATATCTATCTGTTTCTGTCCGTAGAGACTATGTACCTTCTGGATTATTTCTAATTAAACATATGCCCAACTTTAGTCAAATATTTTAATATATCTATTTTTAAAACATTTAACTAAAAAAGTTATAAAGTCTGATTGAGTGATTAAATTTAAACTGCTTATTACAACCCAATAAAATTGTGTTATCTAAAAATGTTTAAAGTAGGTATGTTCTACCTGTACAATTAATGTTTTTTGCCTTTTATTTTTTTAAAAAGAATTTTTAATAAAAAATAAAACTCATTGTGTAATACATTAAATAATAAAAATAGTTCAAAGTATTCGAATAAATCTCTGACTAAGTCGCGGTATCGAACTTACATCGTTTAAACTCTACTCACTGCTTGATATTAAATAATATCTTCCTACGAAAAATTTGTGTGTTGAAGTGTTGCCGGATTTCGGGCTACACAAGAACCGTAGTATATCTAGGATTCCTGTTCTAGATACACTTACTACAGCGCGCCACCTACAGTTAAATTCAATGATCTATTTTTACTATATTTACAAAACAATCACCTTATTTCATAAGCAGACTAGGGGCCCATGTTAGGGGGTCCGCCAATAACATGGTCTATATTTTTAGCATATCAAAATATACACGCATACAATATTATAGTAAATATTTTGGTAAGTTACAATTTATACAAGAAAAGTTAAGTAAATTAAGTAGTAGTATTGCAATAATAGCATGTAAAATCGTAAAAACATATATGTTTTTACGATTTTCTTAAATGGAATAGTTTTCTGGTTAAATCGTACATTGGAGAATTAAAGGAAGAACAATAATTGGTATTTATATAGGTATATGTAAACGGGATGCACAACGAACAAAAAGTACCTACTGTTTTAACGTAGGGAGAATAATATGAAAATAGGCATTAAATGCAAATGTATGTCTCTTATTGGACAATTCGTACGCGTTGCCTTGGTGAAAACCGGCAACGTTGCGGGCTAAACAAGAACCGTCCGCTTGGATTTTATATACCTACACGAGGGATGAATAACGTACTAAATATATCTTATGGGCTTTACAACGTCCCACAAATAAAGAGATCATTAAATTAACTTATCGGCCATTTCAAGCGCGCGAAACGCACGAATTACAAAACTGTTTTTATAAAAAAAATTGTAGATTATTTACTATATAATATTTTGGCATCAAAATTGTAGATTATTTACTATATAATATTTTGGCATCAAAATTGTCAAAAATATTCTTCGTCCTAAAGGATATACATTCAATAAAAAAAAAAAACTCAAGAAATATTTTATGAAAGTAGATACCTATAATTTTAATAATTGAAAGGTGTGGACGGGACAAAAAGGATTTATCTTGTCCCGTCCGTCCCTGTCAATTATTGAAATTATCTCTACTTTTATAAAATATTTCTTGCGATTTTTTTTATTTAATGTATACCATAATAATAGAAGAATATATTTGACAATTTTGATGCAAAAATAATATATAATAAATTAGCTACAATTTTTTTTATAAAAACAGTTTTGTGATTTGTCCCGTCCATCCGCTTGAAATGGCCGTTATATATCTATCACTCTTGTTATTTCCTAAATTAAATTATTTTAACAATTACTTAGCAAAGATATATACTCGTCTAACCACGTTAGAAATGGTGGGTGGTAGAACGCCCCAATAGCATCCCGGGCTAAACAACATACCAATTATACTATTTTTTAAAATTATTTTCCATCCGTTATCACTTTCGGTTAAACCGAAAGTGATATCAACTTTGGTTTTTCAAATGGAACCATATAAATATTATTGCATTTAATACCAAAATTTGATTATTTTTTTATTTTTAACAGTTTTTAAGATATTTAAATTTTTTCAAAAATTTTGATGGTCTTTCTAATATGTTTGTATTACCACTAATTGTTAATGTTAAAAAGTTATTATTATTATTACTATTAATCATAATAATATTATATGCTGGTATATTTATAATATTATCTGCTGGTATAAAACTTTCAGTTCAGAAAATTACCAGATAAAATAAAAATTTATTATATAAATTATTTTGACAAAAAGTTAAATTATTTTTACTGGAAAATCCTTATTACTCTGTTATGGATGATATTTAATGTTTTATGTAACTTTTATATTATCTCCAATTTAAACCTTTAGGCCTAACTTGTAAACCCATAAACTGTATGGCAAAGTATAAATACAGTCCTCTTAAAATAATATCCAAGTTTTTGCGCAGGCACCTCCTCCCTAAATCATGTTCTCACTACTTCGTTGCCCCCATCCAAGGGTTAGGGTAAAAGGTCTACATGACCTACCCTTGCTCGGGTCATTAACCCAGTAAATTGCTCAGGTACACTCGTACAGTCAGTTAAGTTTTGGTACTCGCGACGAAATATAATAAATATACATGAAAATAAATAGACTCTTGAACAGTAGTGATATATAAATAATCAGTAGTTAAGTGTTTAGTTAGTTTTATAGTTTATTAGTGTAATTAATTTGTAAAATAAATCGTTTAGTTCGTTTTTAACTCGCACTGGTGATTTAATTCACACTACGAACAGTAAAAACGTTACAATTTGTGAAATGGTTTCGTTAATGGACTTTAAGCGGGAGCTAGAAGAAATGGAATGTGATACAACTGGGAAAAAGAATGTGTTGCAGCAGCGGCTTCGAGAAGCGCTGGAACAGGAAGATGAAAATCCAGATGAGTATGTGTGACATGCATTTAATGTGCAAAATTTAAAAACCGATTTTCAACAGAAAATGCTGGAAAATTCTAGCGATTTGCAACAGAAGGTTCTAGAAAATTCTAAAGGTTATAAAAAAATTGAAAAAATCATTTCTGCACCATTTGATTTAAAAATCATAATTTCGTAAACTATTTGTAAAATATTGATGAAAGGTCGATAAGAAATGAATGTAATGAGCAATATCCTTTTCATTATCGTGCTATTCGTCATTGTTGCAAATTTATATAATTTTTTTAATAAACAAATGCCATGTTCTAGGAAAATTTGAATTTCAACTTTTTTAAGTACTTGGAAGTCTGCACGCTTAAGATTCAGAAACCGTTTAAACTTGTTTGTGCTTGCCCTTTGGGTTATTGATATATTATAATAATATATTGAAAATGTACTCTCTAAAAATGAAATGGTCAAAATTCTACTATTTGAATTAGTACCAGCATTTTTTACTAATAAAATAGTCGTTTTCACTTTTAAATAGTTATTTTTTACTATGTAAATAGTTAAAGTTTGACTAATTTAAGATTAGTCATCATATTTGACTATTTCTGACAGTTAAAAGTAACTAATTTCTTTAGTCGTTTACGGCCAACAACAAAGTATTATTTGAATTAAATGCATATACCTCTCCATGGTTAAATGACCCATAAAACAAATAAAGATGCCAAAAGTTTAGCTCAAAATAGCAACACAAATAATATATTAAACTTTAAAATATTATGAACAATATTTATTGACAAATAAAATTAATTTTTATAAGAGTGGCTGACAGCCGAATGCGTTAAGAGGTTAGCTTGACAAACTTGTCAAGTGACAGACCTGAGTTCAATCCCAGGCTGGGTCAAAACTTTTTTTAAATTTAAATTTACTAATTTGACTATTTTATTTAGTGGAATTTGACTAATTATTAGTGACTGCTTTTTCACTATGACAATTAGTCAAATATGACTTATAATTAGTTATTTTTGACTAATTCATTTTAAGAGAGTATACATCTGTCAGCCGGTTCTAACCTCACTTAAATTCGATTTTAAAGATCATTATATTCGTCCCTCGTATAACTGAAAACACGTAAAGACGTATCTTTTCTATACTAAGCAAAAATATTTTAACTTTTATTATTTAATATCGTACATATTTGCTTAGTAACAAACACGAAATAAGCCTTTATGTATTTTCAACGGCGATATGTCAAAAAATTCTGACATCTGTCAGTCATTTTTCAACCACACTCTCTTCCAATTTAAAATCCTATTGGTTTAAATTACAGTTAGTCCAAGAGCCAGCGCGCTGCAGCGGTTTGCCTAATGTTGTATATAAATATATCCTAAAAAGACACTTATTTAATTAATTAAGGGGCATCAGGACTGAATCAGACCTGGCAACCCAAAAAGGCTAAAAAAATAAAATGATATATGTTTAAGTTGGTTTATCGTTCAAGGTATACTCCGTATTGCTGGCTTTCCTACTAAGTAAATAATGAAATCGGCCTAGCTAAGGAAATGATGAGTTTAATATTCCCGTTATTAGGCGGAGCGGTTATAAAGGTTACCATTATACACGGAAAAATCCAAGCAATGTCAAAAGGAGTAAACAAAAATGTGTTTTTGTAAATTTTAACTATTAAAAAAAAATTTGTTCGGGCCATACTAAGTCCTACTTAAATACTCAAGCATCGCGCTTTACAGTGTATATGTAATATTTAACAAAACAAATGATCAATTATGTAATTGGATCAAAGTATCGTTGAAAAGATAGTAACTTACTAAATTCGATTATGCCATTTGTAATTACGCAATTCCGCTGGAAAAGACGCGACTCGCGGAATCGCTGTTTTAATTAGTTAATTTGACTTGCTAGCGACTTCAAAGATACGATTATGGAAATTATGGAAAACTTTTGCAATACATTCTTACTTACTTAGTTTGCAATATTTTAATGCGGTTACGTAGTCCTTTAACATCACTGCGGATAAAAACTGAAACAAATAAAAATGTTTTATAAAAAGCTTTTTCGAAAATTGGGTTGGTTTTTTATTATGACTATAAACTTCAAAACAAATATAATGAGCATTGTTGCTTTTGTTAAAAAGAAATGTTATGTAAAGTTGGCCAATTTTTTACTTTTCTTAAATTATATAACATAAAAATGAATCTGCACATGCGCGGCGCAATATTATCCTTATTTGCAAAGGTTAGTTACCTATATTGTTTTGTGCTTAAAATATTTGTATATTGTTTAAAAGTACAGATAATTATCATTCAGTCAACCACAGTCTTGCCAAAATCGGTTTAAAAAAACATTACGTCTACATTGCGCTTATAAGCGCAAACATGGACTAAATGTTGTATAAATGGCACAATTTTTCGTTAAATTACATAAAATTACTTAAAGTTACACTAAATTACATTAAATGTTGGCTAAATCCACCTTAACTATCAAACACAGGCTGCTATCACCGAACATAAACATACAAATCCTTCCAGCAGCAGGTTCCTCTTACATCGCGTACCCGTTCAGTATACTGAACAGTAATTTGGTTAAATTAACAAAAAATAAATCCTTACGTTAAACTGCAAAGAAAAACTTGAAACATAATTTAGGTATCTAAAAATGAATAATTACTACAGTTATTAGTGGCTGCTTTTTCACTTGTACCATGGTGAACCATGGGATACCATGGTATCCCAAAATTTAACAGCAAATTCTTATGTAAAATTGTCCACTGAATCCGAAAATGTCGTCAAAAGGTAAAAAATTAAAAGAATTTTTGATATATAGCCAATTTTCCATTTAATATGGAATTGACTTTATTTCAAAAACTGCTCTACTTTCATAATTTTTGACGGTATTTTCGGATTCAGGGGACAATTTTACATAAGAATTGGCTGTTAAATTTTGGGATACCATGGTATCCCATGGTTCACCATGGTACAAGTGAAAAAGCAGCCACTAATAACTGTAGTAATTATTCATTTTTAGATACCTTAATTATGTTTCAAGTTTTTTTAATACCATGGTATCCCATGGTTAACCATGGTACAAGTGAAAAAGCTGCCACTAAGAACTGTAGCAATTAGTCATTTTTGACCAATTCATTTTTAGAGAGTAAATAATAAAATCTCTTATTCTACTTGCGTAATCGAGCACCGCCTTCAAGTGAATCTTCTATGTGTTATGGGTTCGACAATACAATTCATTAATATTAGAACCAATAAAATGCCAGTATTCGATAGTTACGCATTTTATCCTAGCGACAATATTATTTATCACCTTGTTTACACGTTACTAAGGATTTTGACACTTTTCTTGATTTAACATTTGTTGACATTTAAATCCTGTGTTTGTTTTATCATTAAAATAATAAATTATAAACTCTAAAAGATCGATGGGTTGGTGTAAACGATAATGAAATTAAGGTAAGTTTGAATAAATATAGTTTATTAAAGTCTTTTTATATTTTAAAGCTTATTTTAATTTTAAATGTCAAACTGACAATTTTTTAAATCATAAAATTCATTATATTTTCTCACTAAATATAACTCGTGGTATGATTAATAAGTTATTAATAATAACACTGTAGTAAATTTTTAACTTTTGAAATATAACATCTAAACGCACAGACACGTAAACATAATTTTTGGTCGTAGATTCCAAATCCGTGCTCGGTTTAGCTGGTGGATTTTAAGTATACCAATATCTCAGTTATTAGACATGGGACCCACACCAAATTTATAATAGTTTATATTGACATTAAATAAACAAGTTCGGCGCAAACAGAATTTAAATTGAAGTTTGCGAAAAAAAGTTAGTTTTTCCTGTCGCCTACCCTGCCTCCAGGCCCCCCTATTTGAGATAATTCAAATTAAAGTGGTGCAATTTATTATCTACTATAATTTATCGGCAAATTTAAAATTTTATTCAAAAAATCCAAATATTACAGATTTTATTTGATTTTAAATTTTTATTATTTATTTTATTAAAATAAAAAATTATTTAAAATGGTATAAAAACTGTAATATTTTGATTTTTTAAATAAAATTTTAAATTTGTCGATAAATTATAGTGGATAACGGTGGCGCAGTGGGTTAGGCGACTATGCCGAGACAAACTGCGTCCGAAAGGTAGCGGGTTCGATTCCCGGTCACAGCCTTGGGTGTTGTGCGCGTTGAAAGTCGGTAGATGAGTCTAACTCATCGAGGACCGTGGTTCGGATTCCACGTTAAACAGTAGGTCCCGCTGAAGAACCGAACCTTATAGGCTTTGTCTGTAAGCTGGATAGGTTGATGGCGTTACTACTCTACTTTACTTTTTTTTTATAGTGGATAATAAATTGCATCACTTTAATTTGAATTATCTCAAATAGGGGGGCCTGGAGGCAGGGTGGGCGACAGGAAAAACTAACTTTTTTTCGCAAACTTCAATTTAAATTCTGTTTGCGCCGAACTTGTTTATTTAATGTCAATATAAACTATTATAAATTTGGTGTGGGTCCCATGTCTAATAACTGAGATATTGGTATACTTAAAATCCACCAGCCGCCACTGAGCTGTATCAGGTCTAAAAAAGTTTTTCCTATTGGAAATCCGATCCGGGAACACACTGGTATATTATAATTTGTAAAATAATATAATTTACCTTTTGTGCCAACAGTTTGATGCTTTTCATTTCATTTAATATAATATCCTCAATTATACTCAATAAAAAAAATATTTCAAATTTCCTAAATTATCTAAGAAAAACCCTTAGGGACACGTGTATATTTTGATCAATTAACTTTAAATTTTGCAAGAATTTGATATTTTTTAAATTTGGAACTGATGTGTGGGCCCCGCCAAACTTAATTTTAAAAAAATTATACAGGGTGTTTAAATTTATACAGGGTGTTTCCAATATCTTTGAATTTTGACCTGATACAGCTAAACCATTTGTAATCAACGACCAAAAATTAAGTTTACGTGTCCGAGCGTTTAGCTGTGATATTTTCACCTCCCTACAGTCATACACTCATTGAAACCGAAGCAGCACATTTCACTCGTCCTGCGTCTGCATCTCGGTTTCAATTCGAAAATATCATCGATGATAACCAATGGTATGGTTATTAACCATACCACTTGTTATATTATGGGTGATGTTATAACACCTGATTAATTTCATCTGAAATAAATTTATGTACTTGGCATGAAAACAGAAGCGAATTTGCGGCACGCTTTTTTGTCGTCTTTACACGTTATTACAAAGGAAGCCGCATTTTTATAAAAATAATAAAAACAGTAAAGGATATTCGGTACTTTACCGTACTTATAATTGTTGTTAACATAATTTATTTTTGGTAACAATTTTTATTTTTTTAAGTTGGTTGGGGACAAGGCGCCTATTTTTTTTATAGGAATAAGGCAATTGCCTGCCTAATGTGTAATATGGCCCTGAATAGCCCTTCTTTAAGGTCATGTTTCATTAAATTAAGCAACATATTAAACTGATTTCAAAAACGATTCAGATATTTTTTGAGCTTGTGATTAAAAACGGCCATTACAAAAAATTAATTAAGTTTATTTTACAGTGAGAATAGCAGAAAATTTTCCTGAAATATATACCGTATTTTCACGGTATACAGTACCGAGTGAATCCGTACTCCTTGAAATAAAGTGGTGATGTTTTGCTCCCTTCGAGCATCATTATATATATATATATATATATATTATATATATAAAACGCTATAGCGTTTTGCATTTATAAGCAAAATGATCTCGAACGGTGCACTTCGGTGTCCCATATTCGCTGCAAAATATGCCCACTCTCTTTTAAAATATTCGGATGCCCTCGGCACTATGCCATGTGTGTGCAATGGTGTTTAAATGATTATTATATTATTTAACAATTTTCTTTATGTCTGGAGGCCCCTATATGATCGAGGACCCCGGACACCGTACCAAACTGTCCGTCCCTGGGTGAAAAAATGTAGCGTATGTTACGTCGAAAGCTATAATTAAACTATAGTATACAGGTATGGCCAAAATGTAGTTTGCTTAATTTATATGACAATTAAACGTTTTATTTTATTATTTCTTCCCAATGTGGGATGTTTTTGGCACATCTAGTAGGTATAACTATACAGTAAAACAGTAATATACGAAAATTACCATACCTCTTTCTTTTTTTTTAGATAAAAAAGCGAAAAAGAACGAATGCTTCGGTACAGACAAAAAATTAACGAACGGAAAAGGAAAGAAAATGACAATGAACAAAAAAAAATTAGGCAACATAAAAATGAAAAGAGCGAAAACGACAAAAACATTATTTGGCCATACAATTGTAAACAGACATTTGGCAAAGCAATATCTAAGGTAAACAAGGTATTACCAACTTGTCCTGAAAAACAAATGACGATTATTAAATATTTGGCACATGATAAAATTCCGGATGGTATTAAAGAAAATTAACCACGTTATATTCAGTATTTATACAATACCGAGACCACTGAACATATCAAGGAGTTCTATATCAGAAATAACATAAGCAGTTAAAAGAGATACTGTCAGTGTAAAGGATGTAAGTTCAGGCAACCGAGAAAAAATACACTTAATTACCTATGACTGTAAAAGAAGCGTTTGCATTATATAAAAAAGAATTTTATGAATTACATCCAAAACATGTTTTGCTTTCATCTGATATGCCGCACAATGTCTGTGTGTGCAGATATTATACGAATTTTAGTTTTTAAAAGAAGCATTACATGTGTGATTCTCGCATATCCATCAACATGCAGAGATTTGCTAGATAAAGTATGTTCTGATGTAAATAGCGAGGACTTTATGGCCAGCAGAGTAGCGTGTCCCAGCTGTGACAAAGATTTGAATTTTGCCTTGGTATTACTTAAATATCTATTCTGAAATATTATTGAAATAAAAAAAATGGACTGATGTGTAGATTAAAGAAAAAGAAGCTGCAGCCGTCAACGAAATGGAAAAACAACTT